GGAAGGAAGGAAGGAAAGAAAGGTAGGTAGGTAGGTGACCAGGGAGGGAATGTAATTAGATACTCCCACCTCCCAGTGCTAATAAAATGTGCAGACCCTTTCCCCCAGTTCAATTAAAAATCACATTAGACTTGGACTAGCACGATGTGCAATCTGACCTTCAGAGTGACAGAATCAAGGGTTCCCATCTTATGTTAATCAACAGACTCCAATTCGGTTTTATACTCACTTATATCTGACCTTATGCACTTTCAGCCATTATGCCGGTGTTTACATGGAACATTAAAGCCAAAAAGTTGCCATTTTACCTTTCGTCACATATGGCTCGTTAACATGGCTTATCTTGTTGCTCAGACTTGGAGCAGCTGCCATCTGGGGTTTATAGAAACTGGTATTTTAATTTACAACAACTGCAGATACTGGAATCTGTAAACTGAAAATGGCAACTACTCCTCATTCAAAACCACGACAAGTTGAGGGTATTCATTCAGTGGGGGTGGGGGGTATTTTGTTTTTTGCTTAGCCCTCTATGCACATACATTCAGATTGTTTTTCAGACTAACCTACCAAATCTTACTTCTTTAAAAAAAAAAAAAAAACAGTGGAAAACCAGTAGACAATCACCCCCGGAGCTGCCTGCAGGGCGTGATCAAGTCAAGATAGCAGCCATGATACTGTGCTCTGCCCATTTTTTAATGTGCTACAAAGCTGCCATCTTGATTTTTTTGACCACACTTGGCAGACACTCCTGATCATCCCTATATATTTGGACATTTCTTGAGCTTCATGTCTAGCTTCCCACTCCTACATTGCCACCATACATTTCCTGTCATCTTTTTCAGGACCAGATCTTGCTTAGCTCTCCTTCTTCTCCCTAATGCATTTCTAGGTCCAAAATCCACCACTTCCTTTTTTTTAAACACCCCCCCCCCTTACAGCCTTGTTGTTATACAAGATCTGTTTGTCTTATATATGCCCCAAGAATGGCTTATAGTGTATCCTCTGGTCAAGCCCCCATGGAGTTCAAAAGCAGGCTGTGTACATGGCATGGTTGCCAGCTTTTTCACTACCCTTTTCAATGCCTGCCTGGTGGGGGAAAATGTCCTTCAACAGGAGGCTAGTTCTGAAGTCCGTCATTATGGGAACTGATGCGGGAATGTGGGGATGTTCAATTCATTGTTAACTTCTCTTGGAACTCCACCACTCCAAGAGCACACGGCCAAAATCCAGTGGCAAACGAATAAAGTTTTATGGGGCTTGATACCCAAGAAGTAAAATAGGTATGTTAAGCTATCATTAAAAAAAGAAATTAAAAACTTCAAGCCCCCTCAAAAGGGAAAGGAGATGAATTCAAACACCATCCTCCCAAGTGATGTGATTGCGAAGTACCCATGCAGCCCTAACTCATAAAAAAAGGTGAAAGCATGCTGGTCCATCATACAAGAAGACTTCAACAGATTACTTTAGTGCTGCTTCACCCAGGCTTGGATTTCTCGTACATAATCTATGCCATCTAGTGGCTCTAAAAGAAAAGAACAGCCAATGAAACTATCATGTTCATTGCAAAATTACTCAGGAATAATTTATGACCCTGTTATAGTGTTGGGCCATGCAGTGTGATGAAAGGAGATGGATCTTCTTTTTTCATCGGCTTCTATGGGCTAAGAAGGGCAAAGTTGTCTCGATTTTCAGAAAGTCAACAAGAAGAAGGTGCCAGGTGGAGTAATTAACATTTGATTAACAGGATTGGAATTGCTATAACCTTGAACCTCAATTACCCATGAGGAAAATGTATGCATGTCAAATGAGATGGGGTGTGGAGACCTTCACCCAGGTTGGTACACATTGGGAGCAATTAAAAGTAAGCGGTGGCTATTTTTACTACTCTGATTTAACCGGCATTAAGCCTTCTAAACTTATTCATAAAAATGACAAGATTCCTGTTATTACAGGGCCAGCCTGCACAAAGGCACCTTTTGCTATTGTGACCCCTATTTGCATTAATTACCCAGTAGTTATTAGGACTGCTACACATTTTCTTTTGCTGGAACTCAACACTCACCCTCAAGGCGTAGCCAAGTCTACAATGGGCTTTAATGGATAGGTAAATAAAATGGATAAGCTTCTCTGAGGTTAAGAGCATCCATTTTGCTTCTTTTTCTTAGAAAAGAAATAAAATGTTCCTCTTAAAGAGCTCCAGAGGTTCTAAAAATGGGCCATGCCTGTGCTACAGGTAAGCAAATAGGTGTAGCTGAATCCACACTTATTACAAAATTCCTATGCATTTTCTTAAGGGGGCTACAGAATCCTAATTCTCTATGTAAATAGAAATGACCAGAGATTTCTGGCTCAGCACAGCTCTCCAAACTTTACTAAAGTAAAACTTCCAGCATTCCTCTACATTAGCCACTCTGGCTGGGACAGCTGGGAGCTGTAGTTCTGCAATCCCTGGATATTTCCTTGTCCAGTTGGAATTTGACAATTCTATATCCAGGGAGGGAGGGAGAACAAACACGGAGATGACACAATGAGCTTGTGTGTTGCTTGGGCAAACCCAGAATCTCTTTATAAGCCCAGCTTCTATTCTCTCTGTTAGTCATTCATCAGAACTTCCAGCCACTCCCAGACAGCTTTGCAATGCATTTTAGAGGATCAACATCCAGGCAAGTTAGAAAGGTAAGCATTAGAGATTTGATTAATCCTTTTCATCTTGTCAAACAGTAAAGAGATGCGGAATTTACTTTTATGTTCTATAAGTAAAATAAGAAAACACTGGCCAAATTCATCAGGGATCTGAATGAAGGGAGGGGTTTGGTTTCTTTTGTTTTTTAAATTTATTAAAACAAGGCAGGTAATAATGTAGTTATTTTTTTATTATTTAGAAGTAAGTTTTTACAAACTCAGCAGGGCTTACTCATAAGTAAATGTATTTTGGATTGTTGTCCTAAGTAACAGAGAAATGGGGGACAATATAAGTGTGTAATAGTTTGAGTAGTCTAGAAAATCCCTAGTAAACATAATCATTGGGTAGACTTGAATTGGAATAGACTGAAGACAAGCGAAAATACAAGCTCTCTGAACAAAATATCATGAATTGGTAGTCTTAAAATTATGAGTTGAAAGGGACCTCAAAAGTCATCAAACTCAAATTTCTGCTAATGCAGAAATTTATTTGTTATAACAAGTCGTCACCACTTAAATGCCTCCAATGAAGAAGAATTTTCCCCCTCCGATTTCAGAGACTGTCAAAATATTTAATACCATCTATTATTATTATTATTATTATTATTATTATTATTATTATTATTATTAAATATCCCAGACAAGAAGAGAAGAGAATAAATGTACTCCAGACTGATTGTGGTAACATTACTGCTCGGTTTGGCGACACTCCAAATCTTCTCTTGAAGGCAACAAACCTTTCTCCAGGTCTTGCTTAGAAATAACCCGCTCAACGATGGGTAGGGATAGATGTTAAGTTTGGCATGAGACTCCTGACCAAAAATGGCAAGTCTCTCTCTCTCTGCATAATTCAGGCAGACTTACCTATATCTGGCTACCTTATTTTATTTTTCTCCATCATTACTTGCCCATAAGATAGGGCCTGGAACAGACCAGCTAAATGTGTTTCAGTGTTACCACGTACAGGGTTGTTTTTTTCCCCAGTTTATTGCTTAGGCTTAAGGTCTCCAATGTGGCCCCAGCAAACACAGTACTTACTTGCCTTGCTGCCTGCTAAGATCTATGTCCTAGGATTTAAAAAAAAAAAAGTTTTAAAGACATTTTAAATTACATTAACTGACATGCTGCAAAGGAAAGAATTAACCTGCCAAACCAATTTTATCTTCAAGGACAATCCTGAGCCCCAGAAGAGTCCTTAGAAAATAAAAAGAGTGGGTGACTGCTGGTCAATGCTTTGTTATAAACTGTGTCCATCTACCCAGAAAAAAGATGGGAATCATAGGAGTAGGAATGAGTATCCTGAGGGATCAGAGGGATATTAGGTTAGTGGGGATGTTTCATATTTTTAACTATTTAGCATGATGTCTTCTTTCTTGGATGGGATTATCGTGTGTGATGGAAGCCTAGTGATTTTTCGTATGTGATCTACAGATATATTTGTCATGTTTTGTTTCTGCTAGACAATTTATTGACTTTTGAGTGTTTTATTTTAAACAAGTGTTTTATTCATACTGTGCATGAGCAAACCTATAGTTGCAATGCTCTGTGACAACCATGGCATGCTTTCAAAATTCCAAACATGTCCACTTACACCACCGGATGTCTGAAACCTAATCATCTACTGCTATCATAGTGTGTGTAAGTGTGTGAATGTGTGTAAACTTCTTTTTAATG